TTCACTTTGTGTTTCTATGGGGGTGCAAACTGTTGAAATCCTTACTTAATGCATACTAAACTGATCCTCTGTAAAAAAAAAAAAAAGAAAAGAAAAAAAAAGAAATTATCAATTCCCAACTTGACTCTCACTGGGATTAAACATGACAATAGGTCTGCTCTGATTTCATCATCATTTAAAAAAATCATCTATTATTTTTCACTTTGTGTTTCTGTGTGGGTGCAAACTGTTGAAATCCATACTTAATGTATACTGAGCTGATCTTCTGTATATTAAGATAATCGAAAATGAATCATGATATGAATGGAAGGGGAGAGGGAGTGGGAAAGGGGAGGGTTGTGGGTGGGAGGGACGGTATGGGGGGGAAGCCATTGTAATCCATAAGTCGTACTTTGGAAAATTATATGCATTAAATAAAAGTTAAAAAAAAAAAAAAAAAATATTTCAGCTTAGGGGTTATAATTAACTGACTCGGGATCTCCTGGCTGAACTGAACTCTGGTGCCAGAGTGTGAGCTCTGAACCAACTCTATTGATTGGCAATATAGATGACCAGAGTGGCTGGTATCTGCCTGGGTGAGGAGGCATTCAGGGGGCTTTTCTGTAGGCTGAGACCAGCTCTCCCGGCTGAGGAACTGAGTCTCATCACCTCTTCCATGGGAGTAGCAATTCCATCTCCAAATCAGGGGTCCTTCCAGCCCTAACTCCTGTGACCCTTGATGTTTCTCCAAGTAGAGAAGCCAGAAGTGTGCCGTCTTCATGAGAGAAAGAAAAGAATGCAGAAAGTGTGATAAAGTACCCACAATGCCATGCTGCTCTTTGTCATAGTGTATTCCTTTCCATGGCCAATGCTTCTCTTTCAACGTGTTGACTAAGCACAAGCCAGCTATCCATGGGCTTGTGTCTGATCTGAAGAAGATGAAGAGAATTTGCTGCAATCTGAATACCAGAAAATGAAAGGGAAATCATTGTCAGAGGCTGCTGTAGAGGAAAAATGTAAAATTCATTGGAATCCAAGAACCTTCAGGTGAACGATGTTAATAAGCTTCCGGAAGTTAAAAACAAACAAAACAAAATAAAACTCTTGGAGGGAAATGAGGATGTTGTGTGTCGTGCATCTGACTTTTTAGGCTGAAGATAAAAGCACAAATTCTTTGGAGCCATTAGCAGAAAATATTGACAGCTCAGTAGATGCAAAGCCAGGGCCAAGACAGGGACCCTTATTCAAGTTTATCCCTCCCTGTGTTGAGCAGACAACAAAAACCAGGTCTTCCCTGATACCCAAGAAGAGACTTCTCTTTCCTGTACTGCCTGGTGCCTATTGGAAAAATCTCATGTGTAACTGATATCCAAAAGCACTCGTAGGGTTGCCTGTTACACTCCAGAGTTGGCTGCTACTTACGAAGGTGTGGAGAGGAGACCAGACCACACATCATTTTGAAACAACGCTGGATGAGCAGACAGACAGTCCATTTCAGCCAACAACTCTCCAGGTTAGCCAGAGCCACCAGCATCCAGGGGACCCTCAACCTGCCACATCGTTCAGACAGGATCTTTGCACCACTTCCTAGAGGCAGCATGACCAACGAATGTCTAGATAAACAAATAACCTCAGCAAAACAACTCCATCAGTTTCTGTTGTGAAAATATATTCTGGGCACATGGCCACTAATAGGTTGTAAAACACAGCAACCAGAGGACAAAGATAACTGTTGCTGCCCAGAACATCGTTCCACCTGCTCCCTAGAAGGCTTGGCCAGATTGTTAGGAACCCAATCAACTGATTTCGGCAGAAAGTAAACAGAGTAGTCCTCCCTTATCCCAGGTTTCACTTCTGTGGGTTTCAGTTAGAGTCATCTACAGTCTACAAATATGAAATGGAGAATTCCAGAAATAAGCAACCATATGCTTTTATTTGCACTCCATTTTTGCTTATTATATTCAAATCTCGTGCCATCCTGCTTGCCCTGCCTTGGGTGTGAATCATTGCTTCGTCCAGCATCTTCACCATGTGTATGCCTCCTGCCCATTAGTTACTCAGGAGCCATCTCAGATCGTTCTCACAATGTGCTGGTCTCATGTTTCTTTTGTATGACTTGATAATGGCCCCAAAGCACAAGAGTGGTGATGCTGACAATGTTATTACAGCATATTATTCTAACTGTTCTATTTTATGTAAGTCATGGTTGTTAAACTCTTACTCTGCTTAGTTTGTCAATAAAACCATATTATAGATATGTATATAGAGAAGCAAACATAGTATACTATATATATCAGGTTCAGTACTATCCACAGTTTCAGGCATCCACTGCGGGTCTTGGAAGGTATCTCTAATGGATAAGGGAGTCCTACTGTAGATTAAAAAGGCAATCAAATAGCCTAACATTCCCTCAATGACTTAATTTTCTTTTCTCATCTTCTTTCCATAGCATACAAAAGTGCACTGCAGGCATAGAGATCTGTCTTGTCTTGCTGCCACCCAGGACTACCTTGTAGGTAAGTTTCCTTTGAAAACAGATCTTTGACTACCTGCTAGCCTGGGATCATCCTCTTCTTTGGTCTGAGCTTGCCCTCTTCTTGCAGAAAGTGGTTTTCCGATCTTGCCAGGAATTTTCCCAACAGCTTTTTTCCAATTAAATCTACTCCCTAAATTGCCCCAATCCTCTTCTTAATGGCTCCATCAGCTGAGAGAAAACCAGGAGAGTTATATAATTTTTCAGACCCTTAGACTTTTTAGAGGCCTTCACATTTGGATTTCTGTTATGTGGATGGAGTCCAGTCAAGGGTGTGGGGACTCTTCAGCTCTCAAGAATCAGTTTTACTGTGTCAGATATTTGGCCTAGCAGTTAACCTGCTGCTTGAGACACAAATCCCAAATAGAAGTGCCCAGGTTTTGACTCCCAACTCCACTTTGGATTACAGCTTCTTGCTAATGCACACGTTGGGAGGCAGCAGGTGATGGCTCAAGTACTTGGGTCCCAACCACCCATGCACATACACACACACACACACACACACACACAAAAGGAAAAAAAAAGTTTTATTTCCAAAACTCTGCCTCTGCACCTCCATCTACAACAGAATTCACTGCCTCCTTCTCATGAGGCATAAAGATTTTTCCATTGCTTTGATTTTTTGTTGATTTTTTTGTTGAACAAAAATAAAAACCCTGTAATCCCTGAGTTTTATATACACACGTGCTTCTATCCCTTTAGAATGATTACTGTTATTTGGTAGTGTATTATTTCTATTAAAATCAAAATATTCAGACAACTAACACATAGCATTATATTTCATGCTTAGAAAAAGAAAGAGAAGTAGGCTTTTTCAATTGCCATTTCTACCATTGCAGCATGAACCTGAGTGAATGTCCTCCATAAAATGGAAATCCTGGGGAAAGTCATTTGTCCTTAGTCAGTGACTGCTATCCACAGGTTATTGGGACAGGTCCACATCCTCCAAGGGAAGCAGACACTGCACTGACATCTAGTAGCATCTCAAGACCTCATTTTTGTCACCTGGAAAATAAGAATGTCTGATAATATCTTTGGTAGTGTTCTTTTCAGCTATAAAAAGCTATTGTCAGTTCAACCCTTACAGATAATCTACTGTGTCCATGGCACTATGTAACTGATATAGATACCATTGAAACAAATGAAAAAAGCAAACAAAAAAGAGATTAAAAATACACTGATAAATGGATGAAATTTTAAAGGAACAAACCATCCTCCCTATCCTTCAGGCCATGGACTTCATGCCTGTACTTGTGGAATTCACAGATAAGTTCCATGGCACATCCAACTGGATGCAGGGCACCAAGGGGTCAAGGGGGCAAGACGGGTCTAAGGAACAGGTGCCTCTGATCATGACCATGCAGAGAACTACATCAGCTGGGGGCAGTAAAGACACCAAAACCAGGAATGATAGAAAGATGTGTGGTTAATTGATTATTGTAGGTTAGGCATTTGGCACAATAATTAATACTCAGAAAGTACTTATTAACCTAAAGGTAGCCAGACAAGAGAAGAAAGGAGGAAGAGGGGAAGGCAGAAGGAAGGATAAAGTAGCCTAGTAAAATTGGTGATCTGGAGTGTGAGGTCAAGGTCAAGTTTAGGGATGATGCTGATGGAAGACTAAATTATAAAATGGGTTCAAACCTGGTGGCAAAATGTACACCTAATACATACCTGTTGTTTGTGTCATTACTATGAAGTCTATTTGTGGCCATTGTGTTTGTAATATTTGTTTTAAAAATAAATATTCTGACATTCACAGATTAACTCTGACATGCGTATCACATCTGCTATCATTGCTCCTGAATCAATGCAGCAATGCTATAAAAGTTTAATCTCTTCTTTGAAATACAGCTATTGCATATTGAATATCAAAATCAAAATTCAAGGCATTCAATTGGGAGGGAGGGCAGCCATTTTTGAGGCCATGTAACCACTCACCACATGACCTTAAACAGGGGATCCCCATCTGTAAACCTACACGTTGAGTCAGGTCACTCCAAAGGACCCTGCTAGTGCTGACTGGATCATGAGTTGCAAGTGCATATAGTCAGTATGAGTTGCTGATCAATCACTCTGTGTATCAATACATAACATGAACAACATGCCCTTGATTGAAAGCTTTTATGAATTCTCAGTGTCTAATTCCTGGAGTGATTAACTGCTCTTAACCATAAGGAATTCGTCTACCAAGATATACCAGTTAAGCATGTGACACAGTCTTGGGTTTGCTCCCAGTCCTCCAAAATATCTTCTTTCTTGCTTCCTCTAGGTATGTGACTAATTGTTTCCGAAAAAAAAAAAAAAAAAGCAAACTCAATAGCTTTCCTCTACCCTCTTTCTGAAAATTCTTCTCTCCTTTCACAATAATAGGAAGATGGGTTCTTGAAAACTTCTGAGGCAATCTGTGGACATTAAAAATCTTTTCTCTGGAGCAGAGGACTGTGGGACTGGTGGTGGTCCCTGCTGTGTTTCTGTTTCTGTTCAGCTGTCCATCTGGGCCCAATCGCAGAGGCCTCCTCCTCGCTCTGCTCTCCAGATGCATACTCCTCGTCCACTGTGTGAAACAGTGGTTTGGGCTTTAAAATCCCCCTCTTGTCTCTACCGCCATGCTCTTTCTGGCCTGTTCTTTGGTCATCAAAGTTCAATGCCTCCCTTCCTCTGTGGAAGCTCTTCATGGGGATGGCTTCTTGCACCTGTCTTCTTTCCTGAAGTGACCTGGTCCGAGACTGTACACTGAACGTGACAGGTGGGAATCCGGGATGGCAGCTGTCATCATCTGAGAACACATCGTGACAAGCAGGGAAACAAGACTTCAGATCAGCATGGAGGCTTGGAATCTGGATGGCAAGAACTCAGAGTGAAGCAAAGCCCTCCCCGAGGTTCTAGCTCTTACACCGAACCTTTTCATCAGACGACTTTCCCTTTACAAAGTCACTGCCCCAATAGACAGAAGACACATGTGCAGTGTTATAAATAAATAAAAATGCATGGAAACCTGTGTATCCAGCCAGTCCCCTTACTCCACCCAGGGAGGCAAGGCAGCATCCTTTTAGAATATTAAATCAATTGGCTATAGACATACATCATAAGACATAAAAATGCTTTATCTTGTCAAAAGCCAATGCTAACTGGAAGGTTACCCAGAACTGCCATATTAAAGTAGCTGGTTTTAACCTGATTGGTTATTTATTTATTTATTTATTTTTGACAGGCAGAGTGGACAGTGAGAGAGAGAGACAGAGAGAAAGGTCTTCCTTTTGCCGTTGGTTCACCCTCCAATGGCCGCTGTGGCTGGTGTGCTGCAGTTGGCACACCCTGCCGATCCGAAGGCAGGAGCCAGGTGCTTCTCCTGGTCTCCCATGGGGTGCAGGGCCCAAGTTCTTGGGCCATCCTCCACCGCACTCCTGGGCCACAGCAGAGAGCTGGCCTGGAAGAGGGGCAACCGGGACAGAATCCAGCGCCCCGACCGGGACTAGAACCCGGTGTGCTGGTGCCGCAAGGTGGAGGATTAGCCTATTGAGCCGCGGCGCCGGCCTGTGATTGGTTATTTTATCAGTGGTTACCACAAAGTGTTACATCCAAGTTTTCTCTCTTTGACCTTGAACATTTGAAATGGGGAAAGTACAGTCCTCATTTCTCAAGGCTAAGTAACTTTGATTATCAAACTGCTGCTGAAAATGGAGCTGGAGTTTGAACAGATCCTGTCCAGCTGCAGAACTGCTCTTCCACATCAGACCATGCTGTGTCCCTTACACTTGTCCCTGAGTACCCAAAAGGGACTATTCTAGAAACTCCAAGAGCAGAAACATCAAAGGATGCTCAAGTCCTTTAAATAAAATGATGCATTTGCACATGACCTCTGCACATCTTCTCACACACTTTAAATCACCCTTATGTGAGCAGTTGTTGGCCTATACTGTTTAGGGAATAATGACAAGACAAAAAGACCCTACATGTCTAGTAAAAATGCAATCTTTTGTTCAAATATTTTTATCTGGTTGTTAGTTGAATCTGCTGATACAGAACTGTGAATGTGGAAGGTCCTCCAAACCAGCATGGAGCGCCTACATGTTTCGAGCAAGAGGTTTCCCAACCTTGGAGGGCAAGGAAAGAGCTGGGTAAGAAAGAGTGCTCCAAGGCCCGGCCTAGTCAGACAGGGGAAGACCACTGGACAAGATGTCTTTTTTTTTTTTGTCATCCCTGAGCCAGCCAGAGTTAGACAGTGAAAGAGAGAGACAGAAATAAAGGTCTTCTTTCCATTGGTTCACACCTCAAATGGCCACTATGGTCGGTGCCATGCCAATCCGAAGCCAGGAGCCAGGTGCTTCCTCCTGGTCTCCCATGTGGGTGTAGGGCCCAAGGACCTGGGCCATCCTCCACTGCCCTCCCGGGCCACAGCAGAGAGCTGGACTGGAAGAGAGGCAACCGGGATAGAACCGGCACCCCAACCGGGACTAGAACCCCGAGTGCCAGCGCCACAGGTGGAGGATTAGCCTAGTGAGCAGCCGCGCCGGCCAACAAGATGTCTTTCTCTACAGTCTCTCCTAGAGCCTTTCTGGCTGCTCCCTGACCTTGTCTAGGAGCAGAAAGTCTCTGGGTATAGACAGAAAGTGGATTCCTGTAAACAACTGTGGTCTGATCATTATAAATTCTTTGAAACTTAGTACAATTAACTAGTAATGAAAGTCCCACATCATTACTTTTCCTTTTTAGATTTCTAGTGTAACTGTTGTCATCTAGATGAACTTAGAAACAATGGGCTACATTTGAAAGAAGAAAAATTATTTTCCTTGAGACTAAGATTTCATTACAAGTCTAGATGAGTCCAGGTAGCCCTGACATTTTGGAGTGTTGTCCTTTCTGTATTTACCCATGGGCTTTCTTAAGGGCCTCAAGGATAACAGTGAACAGTGCCTACTGTTTCTTGGCACAACTACTTGGTTCCAGGCACTGTTCTAACAGCTTTATGTGATCTGCTCATATGTGTATCCTGTATGTGTGTGACTGCTTTCAAGCCTGGATAATATGGGTACTGTTGTATGGGGAAGTCAGCAATATTATCCTCTTTCCAAAGAGAAAAGAACAGCATTGAGAAGCAGAATTTTATTTTTTTAACTCTAGTCCCTATATATTTTTTCAGCTTTTATGATTTTTATTGAAAGTAAGCATGAGATGCCCTTTAGTGAAGCATATATTTAAGAGATGGGGTGCTTTGACTTATTAGTTTGGTAAATAATGTAATTACATTTCCAAATGTTAAACGACTCCACCTTCTGGAACAATCCCCCTTTGGAAAATGCTCTATTTTATTTGTAATTCTTGTTTCCAATTTGTATGTTAGTGCTGACGCAAGGCTGCTCTCTGGTGATCTGCTATCAGTCATGTGATACCGATATCCACTTCTTAAGAAAGAACTGTGGGGGCCGGTGCTGTGGCGTAGCAGGTAAAGCCGCAGTGTCAGCATCCCATATAGGCACCAGTTCGAGACCCAGCTGCCTCACTTCTGTTCCAGCTCTCTGCTATGGCCTGGGAAAGCAGCAGAAGATGGCCCAAGTCCTTGGGCCCCTGCATCCATGTGGAAGACCCAGAGGACGCTCCTGGCTCCTGGCTTTGGATCGGCAGAGCTCTGGCTGTTGCAACCATTTAGGAGGGAACCAGCAGATGGAAGACCTCTCCCTCTCACTCTCTCTTTCTCTCTCTGTGTAACTGTGACTTTCAAGTAAAATAAATAAATCTTAAAAAAAATAAAGAACTGTGACATTTCCTTGTTCTCTGTCCACTTGGCCACATCAATAACACTAGATTATTTGCACCCAGAAGACATTTTAAAGTCAACTTCTTGTAACCCTCCATTTGGTGCTCCGGAGGAAAAATTGTTGAACACAAAAGGACAGCAAATAGGTGACATGCTTGTTATGTGTAGCTCTGCAAATCCTTCTAAAGAAAATCAACAACTATAGTGGAAAGCATAGAGAAAAGTAGAAACAGAAAATTCCCTACAAGAAACATAGCTGTCTCCAAAAATATGAAAGATGTTCACTCTGACTAAAAATACTAGAGATTCATGTGAAAATAAAATGAGGTCTATAAGTTTTGTGCTATCATATTATTCATTTCTTTAAAGTTTGCAAACAGCCTAGTGGATGACAAAGGTGTCAGATAAGGACGATTTTCATAGATTGTTGGTATGAGGGTAAATTGGTGATATAATCTTTTAGGCTTGCATTTTGGCAATGCAAGTGAAGATTTAAATATATGCAATTATTGATCTGAAAACTTTTGCTTACAGGAAAATATACTAAGTAAATACTTATTTATGAAAAAATAAATCACAAGTGAGTCAGAGTGCTTATTATTTAAAATTGCTTATAATTATCCCAAATTAGAAATATTTTAAGTATTTATTAATTAGAAATTGACTAAATAAGATATGGGGCTTCTGTATAATTCATTTTTATTCCATTTTCTGAAATGAATACCAAATTCATATCTATTGACATGGAAATCTACCTACAACATATTTTTGAGAGACCTAGAAGATTTCTAAATTTACTAAACAATGATTACACTTTGATTTTAAGTATAAAACTGTGATACTGTGAAATATATATTTGGTTCTATCCCTTTTCCTGGCATACAGTCCCCAACTCCCTGGAATCTGCTGAGAGAGATTTTGTGTGCTACTGAGTTGACTCCTGGCTGGCAGCCCTAGGTTGCCGAGAGGTGGGGCTGGTCACAGGACAGACCAGGGCAGAATCAGAGATTTGGGACTTTTAGTCCTACACCCCAACCTCCTTGTGGAAAATAAAAGAACTGAAGGTTAAATTGATCACCAATGACCAAAGACTTAATCAATCACAGCTACGTGATGAAACCTCTATGAATGTCCAATAGAATAGGACCTAGAGAGCGTCCAAGTAGCTGAACACATGGAGATCCCTGGAGGGTGATGTAACCCAAGAGAGAATGGAGGCTCCTGCCTCTTCTCTTCCTCTTGGCTGTTCATCTGTTGGCTACTCAACATCCTTTACAATAAACTGGTAAACCTTTCCCTGAGTTCTGTGAACCATACTAACAAACTGAACTCGAGAAGGGGGCTGTGGGACCCCTGATTTAAAGTCAGCTGGCCAGAAGCATAGGTAAAGCATCTGAGGCCCACAACTGGCACCGACATTTGTGTTGTATGTTGGGGGTGGGGCGGGGAGGCAGCCTTAGGGACTCAGTGTATAGGATCTGATGCTTTCTCCGGGTGGACAGTGTCAGAACTGCATCGGACTGGTGGACACCTCGCTGATGTCTGCTGCAGGGACACTGCTGGCTTGGTGGCTAAGGAAACACCAACACACACCAGCTCTCAGAAATATGTCATTGAGTAAGAAGACCAGAGAAACTGATTAGCTTTCCTATACAAATCCTGTGCTGTGTTTCTGTGATTTGAGGAAAGGAGGCATCAGGAGCGGGTACTGTGGGTCAGGAGAGTGTAGAATTATGGGAGAATGCTAGATCAAATGTTTTATGGTGATTACATACAGGTATTGCCATTTTAGGTGATTTTAACTTCTTTCTTATTCTTTTCTCTACTGATCTATTTAGGATTTACATGAAACATATTTGTAAATAAGAAAAAACTTTTTGTTTTTTTAAATGCTTCAGCCACTTTTTGCTAATAAAATATCATTTTATACACACATTTTTTAATAAAAGTAACTTGGCTTTTAAAAATAATACTAAACATGTTCAACAATGCCAAGAGTTCTAATTAAGATTTAAGTATTTAGGAGGAAATATTTAATCAGTAAGCTTGAAGAGTTTGCTTTAGTAATATTTAATCCACTTTGGATAATTCTGCTCAAACTAAAACTATGGGTGAGTCCCAGAAGCTCAGTGAAGCCTCCCTGTATCACTTGTTTCAGAGAGGAGATGGCCAGTTCTGACCCTTGGGCTGTATCTGTCCTGATACCTCCTTTGGAAAGCCCAGAGAACTAGAAATCACCTGTTATTTTTTAAAATGTCTGAAAAAATGTAAAAGAAAACAATATTTCATTACAAGTAAAATTTACATGAAATTCAAATTTCAGTGTCCCCAAAGTTCTGATTTCATTATTAAAGCAGTGTTTATTTTTTTTTTTTTTTTTGGTCACGCAATGTAATGTAAAGTTTTTGATTTTTGTCCCTTGGTCCCCAGACACCTAAATATTAGCATCTGATCCTTTATTGGACAAGATGTGGGGTAGCCAAGGAGAGAGGTTACCTGTGAATTCGGCAGCCCTTGTGTCCCTTCTCGCTTTCAGCGGTTGATTGCTGTAGGGAAAGGAGAGGTAGCGGATGTTTTTGGTGCCAGTCTGTAGAAAACAAGTAGAAATAAAAAGTAGATCAGCTCCTGCAAATAAGAGTTTCCTGTGACAAAGAAAGTGAAAGCACAGATCTACAGTGGCATCGTGTTTGGAGACCTGGCCTTCAGTTAACTTAGTTAACTTTTGTTTCACGAAAGCTGACACTTCTGTCTTCAATATGAGAAAGGGAACTTCCAAAAAATCATGGAAAATGGAATTAAAAGATACATTTATTTGGGGGTAAAAAATTTGAAATCTAGCCACAGGGTTTGTCTTTTTTTATTTACAAATTAATTAATTTTGTAATAATCATTTTCTGCGGCTGGATTGTGGTGTAGCAGATAAAGCCACCACCTGCAACGCCAGCATCCCATCTAGGTGCTGGTTCATGTCCCAGATGCTCCACTTCCCATCCAGCTCCCTGCTAATGGCCTGGGAAAAGCAGGAGAGAATGGCTCAAGTGCTTGGGACCCTGCCACTCACGTGGGAGACCTGGAAGAAACTGGCTCCTGGCTTCTGATTTTGGCCTGGTTGTTGTGGCCACTTGGGGAGTGAACCAGCAGATGGAAGCCCTCTCTCTCTGTCTCTCCCTCTTTCTGTAACCCTTTCAAATAAATAAATAAATCTTAGAAAAAATCATTTACCAGAATGTTTTTGAAGGCTCTTCTAACACATGGATTTCAAAAACATTTCGCACCAAAATCTCTCTCTCTTTTCATTCCATTTTTTATCAATTTTGTCTCTTGTGAGAAAATGGACCATTTTGAACCTCTCAAGGTTACTTCCACAGCCCCACTGAGATAAGGATCAAGATTAGGATCTGCCTGAGACCCCATGTCCATCTAGGAATCCCAGCAAGTTTGCTATGATACAGTCTCATAGAGGAAGAGTTCACGGGGCAAGTCTTTGGCCTAGAGGCTAAGTCACCTGCATCCCACATGCAGTGCCAGAGTTTGGCTACCTCTGGCTTCTGACTCCACAGCTTCCCACTAATACAAACTCTGAGACGCAGTAGCACCAGTTTTGGTAATTGGTTCCTGTTTCCCTTCTGGGCTCTGCCTTTGGCACCACTTAAGGGCCATTGTTGGCATTTTGATGAACAAGTGATGGGGGCACTCTCTCTCTCTCTCTCTCTGTATGTCTGTCTCTCAAATAAATAGCAGTCAATGAAATAGGAAGAGTTCAGGTGCACAGTGACAAGGTCGAGAGTCTCGACAAGAACAAATCTCCCCATATCTCTTCCTGAGAGAGAAGTCGGCGGCATCCCAGAGCCAGAAGGCTTAGATCTTGGAGGTCCCCACAGAGTGTTTGGCCCCACCCAGCTTTGTGGTGGAATGAGAAGGCCATGCCAAGATGGCGCTGGCGAGCAAGAGTCAGTTACTCAGGAATGGCTTCAGAACCCACCTGGCAACAGAGCCTGCCTGGCAACAGGCTGTGATTGGTTAGGGCATAAACCTCCCCTTGGCCAGATTGGCTGCCTCTGCTATATAAGCTGCTGTACCAACTGAAATAAACAAGTCTGTGGGCTGCTCACCTATGGCCCGCTTTCACCTGACTCCCGCTGTCTGTGTGGTGACTCCATGCCTCTTACCCCCACCACACTCCTCCTCTCATAACAAAACCACAGCAACACAGAATGCCACACAGTGGACATGCACAGTCACTGCCCTGCCCTGGAGGGCAGTTTGCTACCAAATGCCCGGCGGGAAGAAGCCTCAGGTCCATAAGTTCCTGAATCCAGAGACAGGGGTTGCCATGGTGTGCACCTCCTATGTTTCTGGCACCACGTGGAGGTTTTGTTCACTTAAATACCCATCGTTGTTCCCCTGAGAAGGCCCTGGCCAGGGCAGACCTGGTTGTCAGGCATTAAACTTCCACAGGCAGAGGGTCCCAAGTCAGCAGCGCCCACCTACCGGCTTCCCCCATGGCAGGCTGTGACCTTTCCTCAGACTCTCCCTCAAGGTGTTCTGGCGGCGGATCAGAATCTCTTTAGCCTGCTTCTCACTTGTTTGGGGTTTGAGGTTGTATTTGTTGTAGGACAGGGTCTGCAAAGAGAGTGGAATGTCAGATGGGTGAGAATTTCTCCTGGACAGCCGTTCAGCCTTAGGTGGCTGGGAAACATCAGGAAGCTAACACTGCAAGAGCAGGCGGGCTCCGTAGAGGTCAGCTGAGCATTGGCCTGCTCTACAGACAAGCAAGCCAGAGCCTCCACACGGGTCACAACCCACGGTCACACACTGACCTCCACACGGGTCACAACCCACGGTCACACCTCTCAGAGCCGTGTGGATTCCATCTTGGCTGGTTCTGTCTTATCCCTGCTACTACCCATGCTCTGGTGCCCACAGACTCACACGTACCTTCCCAAACCACAGTTTTTGTGCTAGGTCAGTGGTTCCTGGGCATTAGGACTTAGTAGATAAGTCAGATAGCAAAGCTATGTTGGGAATTTCCACAGAGTTGCTGTTTTTAATTTCATCAATTAAGGATATGCATACAAAAAATCCATCAACTCCTACCACTGTTGTCTCAATTCACTACAGAAAAGTTTTCTAGCCAAAGTGGCAGGCAGACATAATCTCAGGTACACATAGTCCTTCAAGTTGAATTGATTTCTTCATTGTCCTCACCCGAGGCCACTGAAAGCATGTCATGGACCATGAGCCAACATTGGTCCTCAGACAGAAGTTTGCAACACACTTCCTTAGAATTTCTATTCCCCTTTATTGCTCACTCAAAGTTCACCTTAGATGCTCACTTAGCCTGGGCCAGTAGCTGACCCAATGTCTGCCCTGAGAGATCACAAAGTTCTACTGGATAATGAAATGGGGATAGCAACTGCGATCCCTCCTGGGTGAATGATGCTTAGTAGGTATAGAGAATTCACTTGCAAAGAACAAATGCTTTAGATTCGAAGGTTGGAGGCAGCCACAGTACTGGAAAACCAAATGTCAGAATTCTTGTCTTCCAAAGGTTACAGACTCCTGGGGGCAGCATACAGAGAATCTTACAAGGTTAGGTGCTTAGGTAAGTTATACTATCCTTCGAACATCTGGGAGTGATGGGGTCCAGGCAAAGGGCATTTAGACTAGGCTTGAATGGGCAAGGCTTATTGAATTTATTATCTTAGAAGATGAATGATAATTACCCTGTGAATAAGTTTTAGGAAGAGGGAACACAGGGCTAAAACATGCTGCTGGGGCCAGCACCGTGGTGCAGTAGGTTGATCCTCCACCTGCGGGCACTGGCATCCCATATGGGTGCCAGTTCTAGTCCCAGCTGCTCCTATTCCAGTCCAGCCCTCTGCTATGGCCTGGAAAAGCAGTAGAGGATGGCCCAGGTCCTTGGGTCCCTGCACCCACGTGGGAGACTGGGAGGAAGCTCCTGGCTCCTGGCTTTGGATTGGTGCAGCTCCTGCTGTTGCGGCCATTTGGGGAGTGAACCAACAGAAGGAAGACCTTTCTCTCTGTCTCTCCCTCTCACTGTCTGTAACTCTACCTCTCAAAAGGTAGTGGGCTGGAAGATATGTATGGGTGTGTTGGGGAGGGGTGGATTAGAGAAGAGTTTGGAATGTGTTTGCTACCAGTGGAAAATGAGGTCATTCAGTGAAAGGGTGGTGAGGAATGAGATGGAAAGGCAGGAAGGGGCCAGGCCATGGTCAAGTGCTATGGAGAGAGAGAGGAGGCTGTTACATAGGATGCCAAGAGATGATCCAGGGAGTGGCAAGAGAAAAATGTGAATACTTGTATTTCTGATGGTTTTTACCCCCTCAAATATAAAGGTTAGTATGCCTTATTAGTACTTAATATTATTGGCCTATAATGTGCCCTCGCTTGGTCCATACCTGACATGGTTAAGTTTCTCGTGAGAGAGAAGTTGTCCGTGACCAGGAGGGGTTGACAATGGTACCCTCAGGGGTCTCCCTGGCTTTCAGGTTGCTTTTTTGCTTTAGAGTATATGCACCCAGTACAGTAGATTTGTCATTTTCACTATCTAATAACTAAACAAATCAAGTAATCCCATTACCAAGACATACATTAGAAGCTAGAGGAACAATGAGGAAAGGACAAAGCTCACTGATCTGACAAGAATAGGGCCCTAAAATTGTATTGTAAAGATAGAGATACGTACTCTTATCCATCAACATTAATCATGGGCCTGGGTCTAAGTGCATTTTATACATTGAAATATTAAAATATTTAATAATGATTAATCTAAAATGTAGAGACAGACTTTTGCAATTTATCTATGTGAAAGCACACAAACAAATTTAGTATGAGAGTGTGTATGTGTGTGTGTGCATACATTGCTAGTAACAATTTCCTACATGCAGACTTGGAAGGAGGCTGTAGTTTGGGGAGTATTTGGATATTTCATCTTCTATTGGGCCTCACATCCCATCACCCTTGTCCATCTTTCTGTCTTCAAGGAGCATAGAAAGGTCTATGCATATAATATATTAGAAGTTTCCTCCTTCTCTTCTCTCTACTTCTGCCCTTTGGTGAAGGGGTTGGTGATTGGTGAAAACCTGTATTTCTCCCTAAACCTTGATCTCTATAGGAGAAAAACACTGTCTTATTCCATGAAATGTTCCCACTGCGTGGCACCTGTGCATTCACTATTTGCTGAAGGGAATTAACACCAAACAAATTGCTTTTCCTCCTCTGTGGTATAGAGACTTTGAGTGACTTAACCATTTAAGTCACACCAGGGATTGCTCAGCAAGCTTTGAACTATCTCAATCTTTGTGCCACTTTGTTTTCTGTGGTTCCACTGGGCAACTACAGAGGTCAGTCCCTTAACCTCCTTACTCATGAAGGGTCCATCCTGGCCATGCATAGGAAAGAAACTTCAAAGAAGAACAACCAGAGTCCTCCGAAAGGAAACAGGTCCAACAAGCCTGGCTCATTCTCAGGTCAGCTGTGTATCACAATCTCCCAGACTCAAACCCCGCACCTGCTTGCCTTGCCCTGACATGACTCCTTACCCCCAGGTTGGCTTTTTCCAGAGCAAACCACCAAGCCTGTACCAATCATCCAGGCTATATAAGGCCTGCAGAATCATTTGGTCTGGCCATGCCAAGACAAACACAGGCAAGACTTGAAATGCAACAAACCTATAACTGGCTAATTTTTAAGTTGATAATTTTGTATGGTCTGCAAATGATTTTATAAGTCACCAAATGGCCCTTGGCAGAAAAATATCATGAAGAGATGGCCCCATGTTTAAATTTGGGGACAACAAAGAAGGATGCTGCACTGCTTAGAAGAGAGAATCCTCGAAAGCAAACCAAATAGGACACTTACAAAAGGAAGGATGGAGCTAGCTTGGAATTTGCATGCTGGAAGAGAAAAGACGATGGGTATTAAGCTTATGGTAGACTGAATTGGAGTTCCAGGATCTCCATCTCCTTTTACAGATCTTTCTCTAAATTCATCTCCTGGGGAAAAAGCTGAGTGCCAGGTACCATTTTGTGGGGAGCAATTCGGACTATACTGTTACTGGAATTAAGACTTATTCTATGCATCTGCTCTCCCACAATATGGCGCTGGGAGAGAAGTAAACAGCTTCCGCACAGCTGCCTCCAGTTCAACCAATTAACTGTAGGACTTGCTCCTGATTGGAGAGCAGCGTACTCGGCGTGTGGGCAGCCGAGTTGGGATTGGCGGAGGAGGACTATAAAGGAGGAGAGAGACGGCATGCACCAGGAACATCTATGGGGAACATCTAAGGGAACCCGTGCAGCCCCCGAGAAGAGCCGGCCGGCGGTGTGCTGCTCCCCTGCGGAAGTGGGGAATGCGGCCAGGGGGAACTGCCCTTCCACGGAGGTGGAAGGGATAGTAGCCAACCCGGGAAGAACCAGCAGCAAACCCGGGGAGGGCCGAGCAGACGAAAGAACAGCGCAGGGTCCTGTGTTGCTCCTCCATGAAGAGGGGGAGCGACACATTTGAACCCTGACGTTCATTAAGCTGGCTGCATTCTTCAAAGCAGGAAGTTTCTATTTTTCTAAGGCAGGGTATGATAGTCTTACTGAAACAGTTTCACTTGGAATGATTTGAAAGCCTTGGCATTTACTCTAAGCATGCTACCATTGATAACTTATATTCCTTCAGCTGGTGTAGACTTTTCACTGACACAAGTTCATCAACCACAGACTTCCTCAATCAGGAAACCAGCAAGCATTCACCTTCACTGTATCCTAGAAGTCTGGAGTCACAGGAAGAGCATTAGGCAGGTGATCAGAAGCCCGACGTGCTTGATGACTCTGAACAAATCAGATAACCAACTTATCTCACTTCAGCTTCGTCCCTTTGAAGATGAAGGGCTTAGATGATTTGTTCAGTCCCATCAAAACTGTGACCTATGACATATCGACAAAAACAAAGGCCCTCACAAGGAATCTACCCATCCTGTTGAATTAGGATCAACAATCGAATCCTCTGACTTGAAAAACTCTTAACTGGATGTCACAGGTTCAAGTATCATTTGACTAAGTCGAAGTTTCAGGGCTCATCTTTTAAACCCAGGAATGATGTTGCTCTGCACTTTGGGCAAGCTCCCAAGGACTGACACAGATTCTGTAAGTAATTCTAAGTTAAAAAGTGAGATGCATAGTGTCTTCTTTTACTCAGCCCTTTAGCAGTATCGCTTCAATACTATAACCCAAACTGTCTCAATTTCCTAATCTGTATTATTACAGTCATCATCCCCCTAGTACCATCCTTTCCCTGTGGTGTGAAGGACAGCCTGACTGCTTGTCTGTCTTTAGCAGGAGAGAAATAGAGACCTGCTAATTCTGGAAAGCACCAGGCTGCAGGGCTAGGGCAGCCTGACCTCTAGAGACGGCAACTGGATTCACAATTGTTTTTCTGCCTCAGGTGCCAAGTTTGCCACAGAAATCTAACAATTGACTTTCTGTTCTCCAAACTAAGCCGAGAGCACTTGTTCTTCAGGAGATTGCTTTAGAGAAGATGGGGTTAAGGGGAACAGATTCCAGGCACAGGGAATAGATAGACTGCTTAAACTCACCCTTTTTCGAACTTGGTACATGTTGTGGGTCAGAATGTCCCTCATGGACTCCACGTCTTCAGGGGAAAGCCTTTTCACTCCTTGTATCCTCTGGGCCCTGGAAACATCAGTGGAGGAAAGATAATTATTCTTCCATCTTGGCAAGAAGTGCCACACAAATGTCTGTGGGCCTTGCCCTCTATGGTGGAAATGCAAACATCTGAACTGTGTTTACACCATCTTTCCTATAGTAGTAAAATGATTCAAAATGTCAAAACGTGTGACTTGACTTAAAGTTTCTAAAATATGATTCCTTTGCTTATAACTTCTATGTTGTAACTATTCTAACCTTTAAGATTTATTTATTTTATTTGAAAGAGTTACACACAGAGAGAAGGAGAGGCAGAGAGAGAGAGGTCGTCCATCCACTGGCTCACTCCCCAATTGACCGCAATGGCTGCAGCTGCATGGATCCGAAGCCAGGAGCCAGGAGCCAGGAGCTTCCTCCAGTCTCCTGCATGGGTGCAGGGGCCCAAGGTGCATGGACCATCTCCCACTGCTTTCCCAGGCCATAGCAGAGAGCTGGATTGGAAGTGGAGCAGCCGGGACATGAACCGGCACCCATATGGGATGCTGGCACTGAAGGCAGCAGCTTCACCCGCTAATCCACAGAGCTGGCCCCCTAACCTATTTTTTTAAAAAGGATTTAAGATTATAACAAGTTATTTTTTCCTTTAAATTTGTAATGAATGGACATGTTTGTAAAATATAATAAACATCAGCTTTTGGACAATAATATCACAAAAGACAACTCAGATATTTTACTGTTGAATTCAACAGGAATAAAATAACTCAAGACAAAGTCTGATTCTTTGTTAATGCTGTGCTAATGTCAGTGTGGCCAAGTGACAGTTTGAGGATCAGTACCATCCACCAATGCGCTAAGAGAATATTCATGTTTTATGTGTACATTTATCTTAGGATTGTACTTTTAGGGATTTTAATTTTTAGTGGAGGGACAATTTAAGAAACTGGAATCACTTTTCGAAAGCAGGATTAGATAGCCTAGCTCTGAGAGATTGGGCACCATGGCCCATCCCCCTGGCCAAGAGTTCAAAAAACAAGTCATGGCCAGGTTAGCAGTCAATGCACAATTGTTTTCTGGGGATTTCAGAGCTTTGACTCTGCTATGGGAAGAATTCTCATGTGACAAATGTGTTTGATTACAATCTAGTGGCAGTAATTTTAAAGAAAACCCTATTTTTGTTTTGTAAGTGATATAGATTCACTGTGGAACACAAGAACAAAAAGAGAATCAAAGGAAATTAAGCCTCCAGTTATTACTTTCATCTTCCTTAACATCGAGGTGTCAACCCTAACAGGGCTTCTGTTTGTTTGCTTGACTGTTCCCTGGCTCTGACTCTTTTGAATGCCCAAGGGCACTGATGGCTTTAATATCTGCTTGGAAATATTCCTAAGATAACTGATCACAGAGATGAGTAATGGTTTTCAGGCAGGCCACCTCTTAAGTATTTTTTTCTAAACCTTAGTAGCAAGACAGTCATAAATATCAAGGATGCCTTCAAAGGAATACACAGCTGTTAAAAGAGTTCAAATGCTTGGACACTGGATATCACAGTGTGCTGGGGTTTTATTTATCAATGCTATTTGCAGACTGACTAATGCCCTCTCTACAAAATTACTGAAATCAGAGTTTTCATATCCTGGCACTGCCTGTCTCCTCTGCTACTGTTCAGTTACCACCCTTGATGATCCAAACATTATTATCAGGGCATTTCAGCCTCACTGTTTAAATGTCCTTTAAATCAAATTTATTCTAACTTAGATATGCTCACACACCTTCATGATCAGAGCACATTCTTTATCAGGGTGAGTGTAATGTATTGCTAAGCAGAAACACCAGCTAGTCAAATAGTTTCATGTTATGAGTTCATAAGAAAAAAAAAAACAAATATGAAAGACCATGGATAAAGGAAGTGGTAAGGTTAAATTTGACCTAACAATAGCTCTAACTTAGTGCTCTCCCCAGTTTATGAGTGACTACTTTGGGAAAAGACCAGACTTAATTAAAGTCCATTCAGCCAGCTGGCTGGAATGAGTAATACAGATATCACACTAATTCACACTGAGAAGCTGCAGTTCTAAAATTATATGGTGACATGACTCACCTGGGCAGGGTGATACCTGGAGTTTTCTTCAAGCCACTTCATTAACAAAATCATCCCCAATCTAGTGATATTGTAAGCATGAGAAGAACACAATCCTTGGAAAAACTGAATTGGTAATAGTCTGTAGGTCAAATTGCTAAATTATAAACTGAAAGACTCCTCTTGCTAAAACATTTGTTAATTATCCATAAAGGAAATTTCAATCAACTTAAATAAATGTTGTATGGTAATTTCATTGCTACTAAAATCAAACTGGAAAAGTCTGAATCTACATGTAGTTGAGTAAAGGTTCACAAATGTCTTGTAACTTTTTTATCCTCAGGTGCTAACATAATATAAAAAGAGGCTTGTTTCCTGTTATAAAATCTAATAAATGTTATATTCGTGTCATAATATGAACAACCAAAAAATCAGCTCCAAGGGTACTTCAAAAGGTTATGGGAAAAATGGAACTAAAATATAAAGTTACTTTAGTGCACAGAATTTTGAAATCATATATTTTAGGGATCTTCAAATTTTCATGGAAAATGTACATTATAAAAAATGCTAAAGCATGTGTTTTAAAAGTTTTTGGAATCTAGTAGTATTTCCTGATCCATTCAGAGGAGTAAGTTTCTCTTCAGTGGCTTAGATGTGTCATCCATGGGAGGAGCAGGCTCGGAAGTGGTGTCCCCTGTGTGTGTAGCTAGCTTGTGCCTTTGTGCAAAGGTCACCAAGATGACTGACGAATTAGAATGAGTGAGGACTGGCCGAGAAGGTGTCCCCACTCCCCACAACACAATGTTCCACTGTGAAAGTGAAACATGGGACCAGAATCTACATTCCAGAGTAGCCTGCCCAAGAATGAAGAAATGTGAATCGATGCCCGTCAAAAGGCGATCGATTAAAACGTTCTTAAACTACAATAAAGTTGTTTTATTATTTTTTAAAAACACACATGAAGGGGTGGGTGTTGTGGCCCAACAGGTTAAGCTACCTCTTGTGACTCCTGTATTACATGTTGGAGGGCTGATTCAGTTCTCAGGTGCTCCACTTTCAATCCAGCTCTCTGCTACTGCACCTGGGAAGCAGTCAATGATGGCTCAAGTACTTGAGTTCCAGCAACCCCTGGGAGAGATCCAGATGGAATTCCTGGCTCCTGACTTCTGCCTGGGCAAGCCCCATCTGTTGTGGCCATTTGGAGTGTGAACCAGCAGATGAAAGATGTCTGTCTATCTATCTATCTATCTATCTATCTATCTATCTATCTATCTATCTATCTATCTTCTATCTATGTCTCTCTCTCTGTCATTTTTCCTTCCAACTAAATAAATGAATCTTAAAAAACAAATAACATATACTTAGCATTTGGGAGCTTAAAAACATAATAGTTTGTGGTTGTGTAGTTGCAATTTGTTATGTCTGTAAATTTGTATATATATTTTAATATCCCTTTAATGTTAAATGAAATATTTTTAAGGCTTCAACACTTTTGAACAGTTTGAGTCCGTATCCTCTGGCAATTTCTAACACCTTACCACTCTTGGCAAGACAAGTTGCCTTGTATTTGAAATAATATTTAAGCTATGTGTTCTACCTATTCCACAGGGTTGTTTTAAGGCTCAAATAAATGACTGAGCTCCAGGCAATCCTGGTGGCAGCATTTTCTCGAAGGTAACAGAATTTGGAAGTCTTAGCATCTTCTAGAACAATTGCTTCAACTTCTGAAGAAAAAAATATATGAGCATCTTTTGTTATCATCTCATACAGAATAATAAAAAGTGAACTGGGTACACTTTGTTTTCCTATTATTGTAGGTAGGTTTGTTTTTTAAGAAATTAGCTCCTTTGATCTTAGGAGAGGAATTCCTTTTTGGTTGACGTCCTACAGAACTCTGATGAGATCAAATAAATAAGGCTTAAATATTAAAGCCGTATGAAACATCAACCTTTAAAAATCTCCTCTCCCATCCCAGTCACCAGGTTTTGGATCACAGGAGGGAAAAAAGGAATTTCTTTCTTATAAAGTTCTCTTACTAATCTTCAGTCAGTGTCTGACGAAATAATCGACTCAATCTAGAGATCCCCTCTGACAAAACTGGTTTGAAAATTACCTTGAGGTCAGAAATCTGGTAATTGCTTATGGTCTATGCAATTCAACATAAAAATTCAAATATTCCTTACCACATTCCACACTGATTCTCATTTGAGATAAGCACCCCTACATTCCTGGACCAGCTGGTCACAGAACTAAGCAGCAAACCAAATGAGGAAGTGCCCCCCATCCTAGTCTAAACTGCCCAAAGCTATTCAGCCCTCCTCCAATTCCAACTCATTCTTGAATGAACAAGGTAAAATATCAGGAGACCAGATGAAGCTCACCACCCATGTACTTGCCTTAGCTCTCTAGTCTTTATGATTACGCATTGTGTGATCTTTTTATTAGTGTAACGACCCTGCTAGAGTATGGTGTCCATGAACACAGGGACTGTGCTTGCTTTCACAATGCTTGCTTGGCATATACAAGGGTCCCTCAAAAAAACTTGTTGAAAAATGAAAGTAAAAGAGAAGTCTCTGCTGTGGCCTGGGAGTGCAGTGGAGGATGGCCCAAGTGCTAGGGCCCTGCACCCCATGGGAGACCAGGAGAAGTACCTGGCTCCTGCCTTCGGATCAGCGCGGTGCTTCCAAAAGGAAGACCTTTCTCTCTCTCTCTCTCTCTCTCTCTCTCTGTGCACTCTGCCTGTCAAAAAAAAAAAAAAAAAAAGAAGATAAGTTTACGTAGGTGCAAAATACTTTGGAATCCATGTCTATAAGGGGTCTTCAAAAAGTTCACAGAAGATGTACTGTCAAAAAACTATGCAAGGATTGCAAAAACATTTTGCACCAAATTAAATGTATCTTATTTCAATTGTTTCACAAACTCTTTGAAGTAGTACTATGTAGCTAATGAACAGGATGGGGTCTGAGGAATAAAATGAAAGGGAAAGGCAAATTACCAATAATTATGAAACATTTTAATGCAATGCTTTGGAAAATAAAATCATTGAGGAAGCAATGATTTTTAAATAAATAAAAATAGGATGAGGGTGGGTGATTGGCACAGCAGCTTAGGACACCACTCGTTATGCCCCTATTCCCTATCAGAGTGCCTGGATCAAGTCCTGATTGCTCTAACTCCAAACCAGCTTTCTGCTCATGCGAATCCTTAGAGGCAGCAGGTGATGGCCCAAGTGATTGGATCCTGGCCTCCCCTATAGGAGACCTGGATGGAGTTCTGGAGGGTTGGCTTCAACCTGGTCCAGCCCTGGCTATTGCAGATATTAGGAGAGTAGACCAGTGGATGCATGATCTCATTTGTCTCTCTGTCTCTGTCTCTCTCTGCCTTAGAAATAAACATGAAATAAGTATGTAAATTTTTAGAAAGTGGTAGCAAAGATTACAATCCTTTGGGAACTTTAAAAAAAAAAAAAAAACAAACTAAAGCTAAAACAAAAACAGAACAGGTTGAGTATTCTTGATCTTTCCTGCTGCCCTAGGCTCCACTATGGCTCAGGATACCGTTGCCAATAAACATTTGTTAGCGCTTTCCCATTTTGGTATCAGAAGCTTCCTTAAAGGCATGTAGTGGGTAGCACCAAAACAAACAAACAAGGCACAAAAACAATCTCACTGAAAAATGAGACAGAAAGCTTTCTATTTATACCGAGATACCCTCAGGGACACTGGTGTGGCTTTTTCCCAGGCCAAGTAAGAAAGGCAATGGTGTTTCTGATTTGTTAGCAGGCATGAAGGTGTGAGCTGAGACATAACACTCAGGTATTAGTGAGAATTTTATTGCTGCCTATTCTTAGTTCTTCAGTCAACTTGCTTTTCCAATGTGAAGACATAACTGAAGCTCATAATCAAATGTGTTCACTTGCTGAAAATGACCATGAGGGGGACAGGTGTTCCTTCCCATAAATATGGATTGTAATTAACTTTCCCAATGCATAAACCATTTCCTGGAAGCAATTTGCGCATATTTAGGAGATGAATTGATTCTTATGGCATTGTCTTTCATCTCTTGCTAAAGGTAAGCCAGTTAAAATAGTTCATCTCCAGTTTTGGGGAGCAGTCGGTTAGCAGGTGCAACCAACTCATCACAGAGACTCATCTTGCTTTAGTGTGTTTCTAGATTGTTATGATTCCTCCTGATGCCTGCTCCTATCCGAGCTGGCCTCTCATAGACACAAGCCTTTTCTTATTTGCCTTAGACACAACTATCAGCACAGCTTTCTCCAGCTTTCTCCATCATCTGTCCATCAGCTACCACCCCTCTTGCTACTACAACACATCCTCAAATGTAAATTAGCATATACAATGTCATAAGATGCCAAGGCCCCGTGCTTTTTTTTTCATGATTCTGTCCCCATATTTCTGCCTCTTTAGCCCCAGTGCCTTCCTATGGAGCAATGAGTTGATGCCTCTTAGAATTCCAACAGTGGAATGCTAAGCCGAAGAGGTGATGTGACTTACTGATGGGGAACAGAAAAAGCTGTGGAACTTAGTATACCGGTCTCAGCCATTTCAATAGCTTGTTTCATCTCCAGCTTCTTGTACAAAGAAACAATGCTTGATTTGGGTACATTTGTTCGGATTAGGATTTTCCGTAAATATCTGTGATCAAACTTCTTAAACCTAAAAATGAAAAACCAACATTTTGGAAACCTTTTGATTTCTGCACGTGTTAGGTAGATGTGCATTTTTCATAAAAACAAACCACTACTTAACTTTATTTTGAAAAAAAATCCAGGCCAGTGCCTGGAACTCATAGCATTTGAACGTATTTTTTAAACAATTCATAGTGTTTATACATTTCTTTAAACAAAGAAAGAGTAGCCTAGTGGCCTGAATACATTCTAAATCAACTACATAAAAGGCAAGGACAAGCCACAATCAGGGCAGAAATGGTGCATAAAGCAGAAACAGGGGAAACCCAGCCCAGCTCAGCCCCAATTGTAAGAGAAGAAATAAGAGGGCTGAGGCTTTTGAACAAGTGTTCCATTCTAATAGCTGATAACAGCAGCAGCTGCACTTACAGTAATGCTGGCCTATTCAGCCAGAACCCAATAAGAGGAAATGGCCCGGTAGTTACAGTAGTTTTGCCCTATTATGCTACAGATCATTTTGAATCCTGGCAATTAAAGGGGAGAAAAAAACCCACATATGTCCCCCAGATCTGAATGATAGGGACTGAATAGGCTAGACATTGATGGCCGCTGACTATTGTAGCAAACCTCTGGTCGACCCATTAGGCTGAGCTGTGTGGATGCATGTGCTGCCTTTGGAGTTGGCCATTTGTTTGGAGTTGAAAATTTCAACGTTTTCAATCATTCCACATTTAACGAATAGCTTGTGTGCCTGCTGTATTTTCTGAAGGGAGCATAACTTCCTGGGCTGCCAGGCTTATCATTTGCTGATTGACTTCCGGGTATGTGATGGGGGCGGGCCCCATCAGTTAAGTACCCTCCAGGTGTAGCAGGTGCATTTCTTGAGCTTTGTGATCCCTTTACTCAGACCATGCCTACTCTTGCTCCAACTGGGTTACCCTCTGGCCTTCTGGTTTCCTGCTCTTTGTCATGACGGGCCTTAGTTCCTGTTAATTCCATAACATATAGTAATCGGCTCTGCCGCCTCCACTGCTTGTCTGACATTCTTCTCTCTGAGTTTACTTTGACCTTGTAGTGCTCAACTCCAGCAGCTGCCATTGCCCTTGCTTTGCTGGTTGCTTTGTGAATGCTGATGCATTTGGCCATTCTCCCCAAATCCTCCACAGCCCGGATCACCCCTCTTTCCCTTCCAGTCTCCCTGACCACTGCTTCCCCATCTCCTTCTCAGGCTCCTGTTCTCAGCCAGCATCACCTCTTCACGCCCTTGTATTGAGCTCACACACATGCCCATGGCTTTAGCTACCAACTGTTCACTAACGCAATCTTTTCTCCTGAACTTGAGACTAAGTTCCCTAAGAGAACCAGTTCTGCAATATGAGAAATTTCAGATAGATAAAGGCCCTCGGTATTGCATTTTGTTGTCCCCACCACCACCACCAAATAGAGAGGATTCCCTTCCCTAGGATCTGAAATGAGTCCCCAGACTCCTTTTGAGGCAACATGAAGCTGGCCATTCCATGGTTGCATTGCCTTTATTATTGGGAAGTTTGTCCTTGTTTTAAACTAAAATCTGACTTTTCTAATTTCCATGCAAGCAGCTATGCTAGTTCTCTCTGAAGCAATCTAAGCCAAGTCTACAGACTCCTCTACCTGAAAGCTCTCATATTTCCCAGCTACACACGCCCCAGAGTTCCAACTGCTTGCTGTATGGTGTGACTTCTGGGTTCTTTGTCTTCCTGGACCCCTTCCTCCAGATTCTGGGAAGTTTACATCCAACGCAGCTGTTGGAAGTTCTCCAGGCCAAAAATATCCTTTGTTTAATTATGAAACCCCGAGTCCCTTACTTGTCTCTCACTTGGTAGTGGCTCCATTGCCCACACACATCTTCAATTCCAGCCTTCAAGTGATCCATTAGCTGCCAAATTAACCACAAGAAAACAATCACTGGTGAAATGCTAACTCTAAAAGGCTCTCAAGGGAGTCAGAGGAGAATTTCATTTCCTGAGCATATCCGCTTTCTATCACTCTATTCATGTAACTAAAATATGCCATGCCTTTCATAGTAATTCAATTTAGTTTCATGATTGGAAGACTCTGTAGATAAGTTTCTTGATAATTCACATAATTTGCCATGAAAGAAGGGTGCCTGACATTTGCGTTGAGTAATATTTTTCTAGAATAAGCTAGGAAATTTTCCATTAATGAAATTATATGGATGCAAAGTCTAATAATTAACTGTCATTTTTTATTTAATTATAAAAAGTATATATCAATACCTAATTTAGATAGCTTGTTAAAATGCAGTTCTATAGATACTTTGTCATAATAATAACATATAACAAGCTTTTTCTGTATTTCTCATTATTTTATCTGAGCAATTGGTCTAGGATTTAAAATTTACATACAAGCCCATTATACTAGATATATTTTATTCAAAATCATTTACAAGGATTGAGGGGAAAAACACAATCTTAAAATAATAACAGATTAGTCTCTAAATTAAAATTGAAATAAATATATACTGGCTTTTGAGTTTTTTTGCGAAATACATTAAAACGCTATCATATTTCTTAAATAATTCATTGTCACCAACAATACAGCTTTGGTGATAAAAAGAAAATAAGCTAAAATTAGTGAAATATTAAAGTTTTGTAATCTTAGTTATATCATCTAATTTGTCCAAATAATGAATCAAAAAAGACAAAGGTACAGACAAAAATTTACAACCAGGTCAAAGCATTACATATTTTAAAAACACTCCTTCCTGATCCTAATTTCTCCAAATGGCCTTAGAATATTTTGGCTAAGATTTCCTGAAATTTAAATGATTTAATTCCTCAACTTTCTGGGGAGACTGGTGATAAATTTTAGGGTTAATTTATAAAGACTTCATTAGCTTCTCCCATGTTGGAATTTTGGACTCTATGGGATAGAATAAAACTTAAATTACATCTGGTCCAATCTAGCTTGCATCTCCTCTCTCCTGCACAGCAAGCAGGCCAGTGTTCCCGACCAGACGTAGACACAAGGATTTCACCTGTGGGTGTGCCAAGCATGAAATGATGACCAGAAGACTCTTTCATTACTGATCAGAAGGTTCCCTCTCTCTTCCATGCATTAGTTCTCATTTCTGCTCTTTGAGATAATGCAGAACAGCATCCCCTCAGTGTAGTTTTGGACTTACAGAAAGGGATAGAAACCATGCTCAATATCATATTCATCTTTGCCAAAGTGGGATGTCTTCACAAAACTTAGGTCTCATTTGCCGAAGTAACGACAGCCTTTCCCCTTTCCCTGGTAAGACTTCAGAAAGAGCAGAGAGTACTTGTGTTCCATTGGAACAATGTTGTTAGAAGCAAGTGGGATAATTTTGCATTTTAATCACTGAGATAGTCTTTTGAGGTGGTTTGATTGACTAGATTGCTCAATCAAATACTAATCCAGATATTGTTGTGAATGTATTTTGTACATAGTGACCCAGTCTGTCCTCAGTTGTATTTAAGTGAGAGAGCTGGGTCTAGATGTTCTGGGTTGTCTGATTTCACTGGAAAGCCCTTAACAGCAGAGCAGAGACTCCCCTGATGAAGAAGAAATTCTATAGTTGATGGTAGCTTTAGCTCATGCCAGTTAATTCTAGACTGATGGTAATCCTATGGATTTTGAACTTGCCAGCCAGTCCTCTCAATAGTATAAGCCAATTCCTGACAACAAATGTCTCCATCTATATTTCCTACTGATTCTGCTTCTCTGTTGAACCCTGAGGGAAACTCTCCTACCTGAAAACAAAAGTAAGGGGCAAAATAAAAGAAGACCAATGGACTCCCCCAAGATTCTAACAAGCAAGACATAGGATGATAAATCTACTCAACTCCAAATGCATGGCACCTTTCCTAAAAAAAGGAAACATGACTCAGAGGGTGGGACTGAGAACTCAGAGGGCAGAAGGCAGAATCACAGGGACTGTCAATAGCTGTTATCTGCTGACTGTCCGGCCAGTGTAATTTGGGAGCAGACAACTTGCTTTTCAAGTTTCACAGGTTTGCAAATGCAGAGTCCCCAGTGGCAGTCCATCTGAGTCTCACTCATCCCTGATTCAAATGATTGGGATGCTGAGATTTAGGACTTTTGAACTTGTAAGATTTAAATGAGATTTTCAAATTGAGTGGGTGCTGAATGGATGGAGATTTGGGATACTGGGATAGATGGCATGTTTTGATGTGGTGCACTTCCCAAAGTTGTCACATCTTGATGCCTGGAATTATGAACATGTTAGCAAATGTGCAATGGAGAATTAAGATAGCAGGTGGATCTACAGTTGCTAAATGGCTGATTTGAAGACAGCGAGAATATTCTGAGTTATCCATGAGGGCGCAATGTTATCATGAAGATCCTTCAGTGTGGAAGAAGGAGGTAGAAAAGCCTGTCACCTGATGCAGCGTAAGAGTGACCTGAGCAGTCATTGCTGGCTTCTAGGATGTAAAGGGCCACAGGCCAAAGAATGCTGGCAGCCTCTAAAGCCTAGAACAGCAAGAAACAAGTTCTCCCTTAAAGGCTCCAGAAAAAAAATACAGTCCTGAAACATCTTGAGTATATCCCAATGAGATCCATTTAAACTCCAGAACTACAAGAAAACAAACCTGCGTGGTTTTCCACCACTCCGTTTACAGCAGTTTTGTACAGTAGCAACAGGAAGCTGTTCCATTACTTTTTTTAGGGGAGCTGAGAAGGTAGAGACTGTATGTCTAGGGACATGTAGACTGATCTCACATCCAGGCTCCTTGTTACCCACATGGGTAACAAGGGGGAAAAGGTCATTGATTTTTTAATTGTGATAAGGAGATGACTTACACGAGTATGCAGCTCTTCATTGATGGACTCTTTTTTATTGGTCTTTCTAACATCCAGGTACCTGACCAGAGGGCCAATGGTGATTCCCTAGAAAGTAAATTTAAAAAATAAATAAAGAGTTTAGTTGAGGTGCAGATTGTTAACTATAGAAAGTAAATCTATTATTAAAATGATTAGAACACCCAACTTGCAATCAATTTTTTTTTCTACTAGCTTTTGCTGGATAATTGCTCCAATGTTTTAGTTTTTAACTGACTCTCTTAAATGCTTTAACAAAAATAGACATCATTGCCTGTATCTTACTACAGGAGTTCCATTTTATCCCTTAAAATAAATAACTTTCATTTGTTCATTAACAGTTAACTACAGCTAAGACAAAAACCTGTACTATCCAGTACTAACTGGGCTCTCATTTGCAGAGGTTCAAGGTGCAGTAGCTATCCTGTTACCCAGGAATACTTTGATTTAATGTGTTGAACTGATTAAAAGTCAACATATTTTAAGAGTTCAAGAACGACCATGAACATAATTTAGAGATATTTGAGAACCCAGTTTGGATCGAGCAAAGATCTGAAAATCAGATAAAAGGCCTTTATTTATATTTTCCTAATTTAGCACATTATTCTGAAGAATCTACTTATTTTAAATATCAAAAAAAAGTCTACCAACCTGAATGAACACAGTGAAATATATAACTACTAGTGTAGCTGTGACAAACAGTTTCTTCCTAGGAAAAAGAGATAGAGGAAGCAAAAACGCAAGTGAAAAACTTCCAGCTCCTCGAACACCACTGTAGAAAATTATGCACTGGTCCTTGATGGAGAAGGGGAAAGTCCGAAACTTGTTACTGACATAGAAGAGAGCAAACACGCCTAGAAAGGGGGAAATATGTATTAGAGCAGAGGCTCATGCATGACAGAGATACAGTGCACCTAAGGGTGCATGTGTGATTCCACCCTACAACCTGATCATCCCTTTCAACCAGAATTCTTTGAAAGCTTTTCCTTTGGGCTAGCTGTGAGACAGTCAGCCATCAAATTAAAAGTCTTCTCCAGTAGCTCGATAGAGCATGTCATGCGGTTGCACACGTCTGTATTTAAAGTAATAGCATACTGATTTTTAAATATCAGGTATTTATTTTTATCCTATTACCATAATTTTCTCTTTTTAAAATCAGTTACAGCAATGCTATTATTTGAGAGATAGAGACATTATGATTGTATATTGTTATGGGCTACACAAAGGAGATTCATAGTTTAAGTAGGAAGGAAGCCCTCTTGGCGACTGGTCTCTAGAGGGTGAAAGATTTTTCATGGCTGGCTCAGTTCTTCTCAAGTTTCTATGGAAATGAGAAAGGAAGTTGGCTAGGTGTTCAGGGGGGCTTTTATTGCTAAGTGAGTTTTTCTCAAGCGCAGCATTGGAGAATTTGTTCAAAACATAGTTTTTCTCTATTCCTCTGAGTCCCTATCCTCAGATGCCCTGCAAGACTTAGCCACCACCAATGCAGTATTTCCTGGGTGGAATGGTCCTTTCACTAAAGATTTCATTTCAATAGAATACAGCTCTCCACCCACAGTGTACTTCAAACCACACAGGCTACACAGCAACCATCCTTTGATGCACACTGATAGTGCAAAAGAAGACAGACCGGCGCCAAGGCTCACTAGGCTAATCCTCTGCCTGCAGCGCCAGCACCCTGGGTTCTAGTCCCGGTTGAAGCCCCGGATTCTGTCCCGGTTGCCCCTCTTCCAGGCCAGCTCTCTGCTGTGGCCCAGGAAGGCAATGGAGGATGGCCCAGGTCCTTGGGCCCTGCACCCGCGTGGGAGACCAGGAGGAAGCACCTGGCTTCTGGCTTCGGATCAGCACGGTGTGCCAGCCGCAACTCACTGGCCATAGTGGCCACTTCGGGGGTGAACCAATGGAAAAAGGAAGACCTTTCTCTCTGTCTCTCTCTCACTGTCTAAATCTGCCTGTCAAAAAAATAATAATACCGGCGCCGTGGCTCATAAGGCTAATCCTCCGCCTTGCGGCGCCAGCACACCGGGTTCTAGTCCCGGTGGGGGCGCCAGATTCTGTCCCGGTTGCCCCTCTTCCAGGCCAGCTCTCTGCTGCGGCCCGGGAGTGCAGTGGAGGATGGCCCAAGTGCTTGGGCCCTGCACCCCATGGGAGACCAGGATAAGTACCTGGCTCCTGCCTTCAGATCAGCGCTGTGCGCCGGCCGCAGCGGCCATTGGAGGGTGAACCAACGGCAAAGGAAGACCTTTCTCTCTGTCTCTCTCTCTCACTGTCCACTCTGCCTGTCAAAAAAAAAAAATAATAATAATAATAAAAAGAAAGAAAAAGAAGACAGTTTACATTTTTTTGTTTTGCTTTATTTGTCCTGCATAAACCAACAATGTGATCCTGGGCAAGGCTCTTAATCATTCCATGTCCTCAAAGTCCTCACCAGCTTAATGAAGATCGGAGCTTTGCAGTTGTCCCTTAGCACCTGCAGATTTCGTTGCAGGAGGCCACACAGATACTAAATTCTATGGATGCTCAAGTCCCTTATATAAAATGGTGTAGAATCTGCATATAACCTACACATATCCTCCTTCATACATAATTTATTCTTTAAAAGAAGATGTGTTCATTTATTTTAAAGGCAGATCTACAGAGGGGAAGAGACAGAGAGAGAGATTTTCCACAGGCTGGTTCATTCCCCAAATGGCTGCAACAACCAGGGCTGGGCCAGGCCGAATTTAGGAGCCAGGAACTCCATCTGGATCTCTCACATGGGTAGTAGGGACCCAAGTACTTGGCTCATAATTTGTTGCCTTCCCAGGGACATCAGTAGTGAGTGGGATCAGAAGTGGAGTGGCTAGAATGCGAATCCGGGCTCCTTTAAGGGATGCTGGTGTCACGAGTGGCAGGTTAACTACCTGCACCACCACATCAGTCCCTTCCCACACAATTTAAATCATCTTTAGAGGGCTTATAATACTACATACAATATAAATACCAAGTAAATAGTTGTTGAAATCTATTATTTAGGAGATAATGAAAAGAAACTAAGTCTTATGGATGAAATTTTTTTTTCAACGATTTTTCATACATGGTTGTTCGAGGGTGTAGAACCTGCAGATGTGGACAGCTAAATGTGTTTACCTCAAAAGGTGGATGAAAGGTTAAATAAATGTAATATCTGTAAATAACACAAAGCAGGGCCTTGTGTGTTACAAGCCTTCATGGGTGTGATTTATTATCAGTGATGGTGAGTCGGATGGAAGAAAGCACAGTTTAGGGAATAACTGAGCCCTGATCCCAGCATTCAGGGATTCTGAGCCCTGATCCCAGTGTTCAGGGATTCTGAACCCTGCACTGGTAGTCACTGAGATGTGCCAGGGCAGTCACTCTATTGGGGGTTGCTCCACCAATTTCCTCCACTATTGGAGTATGGAGCTGGCTGGAAGCTCACTAAGCATCAACGATGCTGAGGAATCTACCCTGTCTCATATAAACCCTCTCCTGAATGGCTCATCTTCTTGTAGGCTGAGCTGAAGCTCTGTGGTGTTGACGTTAGTTCAACTCCTCTGCAGATCTGTCAAATGGTAGAACTTAAAGACACCTAAGAAATGAGTCCAGACATATTATTTTGCTATAGGGAATATGATTTTGAGCAGTTAAATGGCAGTTCAAGTTCAAATAGAAAGTTAGCAGTGACACTGGGATTTGATTTGAGATGTTGAACTTTGGTCAGTTTCCTTAATTCTCTTCCCACCATGAATCCAATAGGCATAAATATGCCGTTATTTTACAAGTATTTAAGTATTTCAACATTCTTGTTATTCTTTCTTAGATCTACAATCCATCCCAAATTAATTTGGGAATGATATGTTTGAGATAAATTTTCAGCTGTTTCTTGAGTATTTCACTTTAAATCATTGGTCAAAGTCACTTTTGTAAAAACTTCAAATATCAGTGAAGGTCATTTTTAAAATATAGCTGCTTCTGCTCAGAAGGCAACACATATATTGTAGTATAGTCGCTAGCATCTTTATTCACTCCTGGAACATAAATCTGCAAGGTAAACCAGCAGCCACTGGATCTCATTTTTAAAAATTAGGCATATTGGGGTCAGTGTTGTGGTGTAATGGGTTAAGCCACTGCCTACAAAACCAGCATCAGCATCCCATATAAGCTCCAGTTCAAGTCTCAGTTGCTCCACTTTTTTTTTTTTTTTTTTTGACAGGCAGAGTTAGACAGTGAGAGAGAGAGATAGAGAAAAAGGTCTTCCTTCCGTTGGTTCACCCCGCAAATGGCCGCTACAGCTGGCGCACTGCACTGATCCAAAGCCAGGAACCAGGCGCTTCCTCCTGGTCTCCCATGCAGGTGCAGGGCCCAAGCACTTGGGCCATCCTCCACTGCCTTCCCAGGCCACAGCAGAGAGCTGGATTGGAAGAGGAGCAACCGGGACAGAACCAGCGCCCCAACTGGGACTAGAACCCAGAGTGCTGGCACCGCAGGCGGAAGATTAGCCTAGTGAGCCGTGGCACTAGTCTCAGTTGCTCCATTTCTGATCCAGCTCCCTGCTAATGCACCTAGGAAAGCAGTAGAAGATGACCCAAGTACTTGGATCCCTGCCAGTCACGTGGGAGTCCCAGATGGAGTTCCTAGCTGCTAGCTTTAGCCTAGCCCAGTCCCAGCCATCGTAGCCCATTTAGGGGAATGAACCAGCAGATGGAAGATCTCTCTACCTTTTCCTGTCTTTCTGTAACTGTGACTTTCAAATAAATAAATCCTTCCAAATAATTACGTATATTGCATAGGGGTGTGGCTAGTTACACTGTAGTTGTCTTTAGTAACTAACATTACGCTCTTTTGAAAATACAGATTGACTTCCCGGTCCTTTGTTTGCTGTTCAGCACACTCATGCACTCAACCCTCAAACAAAACCACCTGTGCTATTTAAGGGACTGTTTTCTAACATCCTTGTCTTACAGAGAACGCAATTTGTGAGATCTCACTTATCCCGTAACAAAAGTGCCAATGCCCACAGTGTATAATCTATATCTGCTTTAAGGTGCAAGAGGGTTCAAACCAGCAAAGAAGTGCCAAACAGGCGATACATAGACGGGGTTATATTTAAATGTGTAGATGTGAAAGTTCTCTCTTCAACTGAAAAACAAAAAAACAAAATACAAAATATCCCTCGCTCCAGCCTTGCTTCAGTGCAGAACCTTATCAGCCACTAATTACTTGGGGCTGATGACAGCAGCAAATAGGAGACTTGCCTGGTAATGCCTCATGCCCCACAACCAGTCAAACCAGTTAGCATCAACTCCCTACTTGGGTTTTTCCACTGCTGAAGGTAATAAGAAAACAAACGAAAAAGGAGAAGCCATGCAAGAGCCTTTTGGGGAGGGGGTGGGGGGTCCTGCTGTCTTACTGATGGCCCGCCAGATTTGGCAGAAGACCAGCGTGAAGCAGATGAAGGCCCAGTTCCACTCGTGGTTCTTCCCAATGGTGGACACGCCCATGAAGATGAAGATGAGGGTCTCGCTGACACTGCTCAGCATCTTCATGAAATACTTGATGGTCGTGTAGGACGTCTGGGACACGTTCTCTTCCACGTACTTTTTCATTGTCACGGCGCAGGCTGTGATCCTACACAGGGGACAGAGTGTCAGAACCGACAAGTTACTGCCCCTCCACAAGAGCTCCTCCCCACTGGTGATGCCACGGGGGCAGGATGCCTGCCTTGCTCCAGGCAGCCTTCTCCACTGCCCTTCTCTGCTTTCCAACTTCCCACAGATCGTCTTTCTTCCTCTTCTCTCCTCCCAAGAGGTCTCCACAAGGGAAAGTTGAGGGTGGAGGGGACGGGGAATGTGGCATGAGCTTCTCAAAGTAAAACAGTGTGCAACTCATGCATCAGAAGTTGGGTGCTCCTGGCTCCTCTCCCCCAGGGAGGACTTTGTGCCCCTCTGATTCATTCCACTGCAGACTACATACACCTGCTTCAGTTGTCTGCACAGAATAATTCAGGAAGGCTCCCATTTCCTCCAACAGAACAAGATTTTTTGCAACTAACTGAGAACAAATTTTTGCATCTCGAATATTTCTGATCTGGAGCTATTTAACAATCTTGCCTTGTCTCGGTGCTCTTGATCATTTTTAATATGGGAAAAAGATGGGTGCCTAGAGTTTACACTACTATATTTAATTGGAATGGGCAGGGGGCTGACGCTCTGGTGTAGCAGGAAAAACCAGCATTCCATATGGATGCTGGTTCGAGACCTGAATGCTCTATTTCCAATCCAGCTCTCTGCTATGGCCTGGGAAAACAGTAGAAGATGGTCCAAGTTCTTGGGCCCTTGCACCCACATGGGAGAACCTGAAGAAGCTCCTGACTCCTGGCTTTGGATGAGCCCAGCTCTGGCTACTGCGGCCATTTAGGGAGTGAATCAGTGGATGGAGGACCTTTCTCTCCTTCTCTCTCTCTGTAATTCAGCCTTTCAAATAAATAAATAAATCTTTTTTTTAAAAATGGGTATTTCTATACAGTAAATTTGCATACTTCTGCCTGAATAGCTGGATATGAGGACAATGCCAATAGAGAATAAAACGTGGCCAGATACAAGCCAAACTGAGAAGGCTCATTCCAAGACAAACATTTGAAGAGTACAAGGACACAAGGACAAATGTCTCAAAGCTATTTTTATGGGGACAAAAAAAAAAGACTATATTGGTGGTCATATTCCATGTACATTGTTGCACTCCATCCTAAAAATTCAGTGGAACTGTGACATTGTTTAAACAGCACAGAAGACAGCAGAGCCCAGGAATGGCAGTCCACGTGGTATGCCTCCTTTCAACTTCAGAATTAAATTTTCCAGGACAAAAGGAACCCCCCAAAAAGCAAAAGCACAAGCCTACTAAAATGAGACTTTACCCTTCAACTTTTCCCAGCTTTTCTCTGTACCAGCACTTCTAAATAGTCTAAATTGATGTTAAAATTTCTATGCTCTCCTTAGGCAAATCATGAGAAGAAAGCAAAAACAAATGCTGAAGAGAACATTTGTTTAGCAAAGGACCTGAATCAGATTTTATAAAAGTAAAACAAACAAACAATCCTGCACCACCTTTGAGGATGAGTATCAAAAATCATGCCATTTCTGGATGCCTGGTTCATATGAGGTGGTCTCAATTTTTCTTTATGTTACAGTGAGGTTTGATCCACAGTTGGTACTCACGCCAAGATGCCAGAGAGGTAGAGCGTCTCAGCGACCAAGTAAGACAAATAGCTGAACATGAAGACGATCAGTGGTTCAATGGCAGAGATATTCTGAGTGAAACGTGTGATAAATGCAGAAATAAATCCAAAAATGATGCCGAAAAAGACTCCCCCACATCCCACGACAATGAATCGGGCACATCCAGCCAAAATGTCAACAGGTTCTATGTCTTCAAATTTATGCATCTTTGTGAACGCAATTAATATATTGTATAAGACCTAGACAAAAAAAGAAAATAAACACTGATTACAAATGAGAAATACTGCACACATGAGTTCTCAACTTTGTGTCTGGCTAAATAATACAAAATATTCCACAACAAATATTAACACACCTGTCTAGTTTTCGTATTGTATTATCAACACAGTTTAAATGTGTTCAGTTTCACTGAGTAGATAAGAGGGATACTCAGAGCTTGTAATAACTGAGCACATGATAAATGTTTAAAGAGGTGGGAGTGCTAATTATCTCATTCGATCATTATGCATTGTATACATGTGTGAATTACACCATTGAACAGATTGATATCAACAAATATTGTGTCAATTAAAATAGTAATAATAATTTTAAAACTTTGGGAAGGCATTTGTCCTAGTGGTTAGCATTTCTGTATCCCATATCAGAGTCCCTAGGGTCAATATCTGCCTCCAGTTTCTGTCTCCAGTTTCCTTCTAATGCAGACCCTAGGAGGCAGTAATGATGATTCAAGTAATTGAGTTTCGGTTATTCTCATGGGAGATCTGCATTGAGTTCCTAGGTCTGCCCTGGCTCACCTCCAACCTTTATGGTCATTTGGGAAGTGAACAACAGAATCCCTTTAAGCATTTCCTTTAAAAAATATGTTTTGTTTATTTGAAATGCAGAAAGTCAGAGAAAGATACACAGACAGACAGATAGAGGTTTCCCTATCAATCAGCTGGCTCATTCCCCAGATGCACAACAAAGCCAAGGCTGTGCCAGATCAAAGCTGGAAGCCAGGAACTCAATCCAAGTCTCCCGCATGAGTGGCAGAGACCCCGCTACTTGAGCCACTACTTGCTGCCTCCCGTGACGAACATTAGCAGGAAGCTGAAATGGAAAACGGAGATAGGTCTTGACTCAGGCGCTCTGATAGGGAATGTGGGCTTCCCAAGTGGCAACTGAACAGCTGTACCAATGCCTGCCCCAGCATCTCTCTTTTAAAATGAACACCAGGTTAAATTTCCTCGATAGAGGGTGTGAAAGGGACGTTGCAGGAGAAAGAGGCTTCTGATAATCTCCTGGGGCCTTTCAGGAACGGTCAGTCCGGGGAGTGTGAGGACTTGCACTGGAGTCTGTCAGAGCCACAGGTGTGCAGAAGTGATCCCTGTGCACCTGGAAACAACCTGTTAGCCACTGAAGAAAGAGGACCCACCACTGCTCCCAGGCAGCATGTCTGAGGCCCAGGGATCAAACTGAGCAACCCCCCTCCATCTGCAAACCACAACCCCCCAATCCCACACTGCCTGTTCATCTAAAAGCCTCTGCCCTCTCCCAAGCCCAGGCTCCCACTGCACCACAGTGGTCTGCTGTGTTGTGGATGGCTTGCACAGCAACTCCAGATCAGCTACCGTCTGGCTGCCCAGCCAACTTCTCGTGGCTGAATCACACCTTTCTCAGTGAGGTCTGAACCCCTTCCAAGTCTATCCTTTTTTGAGTGCCCTTCCTCTGTCCTAGGGACCATAAAGATTTCCCTTCTATCTATTCACTGTACCTTTTTCTAGTTAGTACATTTTACATGACAAATCTTCTGTGTGACCCATCACATGATTTCCCTTTCTGGATTAAAACTAGCCTGCTGTACTCTCCCCATACAGTGGATTCCTGGCTTCTGATGGCCCCACCTATCGTTTTTCCTCTTTGCCATGGTTCTGACAGCAATACACATTCAGTAGAGACCACACTAGCAGGGCTGAATTTGGGTCTCCCCAGTCGAGTGTTAGGCAAGCCAATCCTCTCTCATGTTGGCAGACAGCGGCAGCCACCAACACCTATGTCATTGACCCAAAATGTCCTGCAGGTTACAGGTATTCAATGCATTCCCCACTTTGGATGTTTTCAAATGATAATGAGTCTTTCAGGACTTAACCCCGAGGTAAGTGCAGGAGCATCTGTATCTCACTGAATTCCCCCAAACAACTGTACTTGTTCAATATTTGTTTTAAATTGCAGGTATCTACTTCTCACCATTTCCTATCACTCCACAGCCTATAACTTAGATCTGGGCTCTGCAAACTGGCTGCAGACACACGGGTAACAAGATATAAAACAGACGAAGCAAGATTGCTGCAGAAGGGGAAGACTTTGCAGAATGCAGGATGCTGTGAGCTTTGTTGACCTTTGCCAGGGAAAATGGAAAGACTAGAGTAGGGTGCAGAGGCCACATGTCAGAAAAACAGGGTCAGGGGTTCTTTATTCCATGTGCTATGGAGCCACAGAGGGTTCACTGTGCACTCTGCACAGCACACTGGATGTCCACTCCATTCATCCTCTGACCACCTTCATCTGCTTTCTGCAGCCATCACATATACCATGGGTAATTTAGGAACAATACGAGTTTATTTGGCTCAGGTTCTAAAGTGTAGGAGGCCCAAGAGCATGACACTGGAATCGGCTGAAGCCATTTGTTTAGGCTGAGTCATAATATGACAGAAGGGTGAGTGAGCTGTGCCCAAGACAGGGAGGGCAAAAGGTGCTGAACTTACAAAGAACACAACTGCAAGGGAATGAACCCACTCCCACGACAATGTCATTCATCCTTTAGGCAGAGCCCTCAGAACCCCATCACCTCTCAAAGGCCACCACTGAACTGTCCCAATGACAGTTGAATGACATGTGGCTTGTGGAGGGATCGGTCAGACCATAGCACTCAACCTTCACATGCTGCTCTTGCAGAATCTCCCACAATGCACGCTGTCAGGCTTCCCAAGGCCTGAGCCTACTCCACCCAGATCTCTCCATTCCCATCCTTCCTTTCTGAGACAGCCAGTGTCACCTCTGTTCTTCAGTGTGGCCTGACAGCTTGTGGATTCTGACTCTGCTTTGGGCATGCGCTAACCCCTTGGTCATGGTCTCAACCTGTAGACAGCTGCAGCCTTTGCTCCCCCAGTCCATGTCCACCTTAGGTTCCATCCTGAAGTTCCAGAGGCACATGGATTTTTGGGAGGACACTGTTCTACTCAGTACAGCTTTCAAACCAAAATGGCCATATAATAAAATTTATTTATTTATAAACTTTACTAATAACTATCTTAAAGCACAAGTAATTTCAGTTTAAATTTACAAGATCCTGAACTGTGGTCATGCCCCAAACGGTTCCATTAAGTTTCTTGAACATGTGCTTGGAGTATGGATGAATGCTTGCTTTTTACTATAACAAGCGGCCACTAAGCCCACTATGTTGCCTAGGTAAAGGAATGTGGACAGAATGCTATGAAGAGACTTGTTTCTTTTCCCTAAAGACAAGTTTTTGGTGCACTTTCTGGGAGAAGAAACTAGGCAAGATGAAGAAAAAACAGAAAGTTTGGTGCGAATTGGCCAGAGGAATATGTGCACACTTGCATGCAAACACACACACACACACACACACACACACACACACCATGAACACTGTGAATTTCTGAAAATAAAAAAGCAATTACTTTAAAAATGAAAGGTGTGCATAAATCTGAAATTCGATTTGCTTAACAAAAGTTAAGCACAGAGGCTCCCCAGTGAGCTTGATAAACTCTCTGAGAAATTCAGAAAGATGGTCGCACATGGTATCTCCCCATCACCTGGACTCACACTGCACTGTGGCCCAAGGGCTCTCCCATCAACCCTGGCTCCCAATCCCTTTTCTCACATAGATGATTCCCTTAATAAATCTCTTGCACACATGTTGCCTTCTGGGTATTTGACCCATGAATTACCTAGACAATATCTGTGTACTACCCATATTTTTCAAAACTCTTATAATACTGGCCTCTTTCATTCAAGCAAACTGAAGCATGGCTCAAGGAAATCTCAGCTGAAGATTTGCATTTGTGAAATGTATTTGGGGCTTTTGGTTCCAAAATGAATCCCAAAGAAGCTTAGCGGTCATATCCTGACTCAGTGAGTTTTATTCAGCCCAGTTTCACTTTTGGCTTGACCTCAGAGGAAGCTCCATCTGGATTCTAGAAGCCTGGAGTACTGCACCTGTGGAGTGGAGCTGACATTCAAAGGTGTGAAGCCAAGATGAGGAGCCAGAAAAGAAGGTTTGAGTGTGGTTCAGTGGGAACTGGGAGGTCATTTGACTCCCAAACCCAGAGCAAACTAAGGGAATATGATTGGGACTCAAATATTTGAATATTGTTACCATGAGCTAAAACTATTTTACATAGCTCACCAAATTATAAGTAGCTACCCAGTCCATTCCAGTGGCCCAGGAGAGTCAAACAGACAAACCTGGTCCCTGGACACCTGTGCATCCTGCTAGGAAAGTGCCATGGCAGATTCATGAGCTAACAAAACCCCTGTAATTAAGACTGCACTTACAGACACGATCTGTAGAGCTACATGAAAAACAATGCTTAGCTTTCAAATTACCAGGCTCTGGGATATCATTACAGTTCAAAAATATTTTTCTTTTGATTCATTTCAAATCTTAATAATCTGTGTCTATTTTCATATATTGGAAGAAAAAAATTCAACCAAGGCCAAATCTCACACATGGGGATGGCACTAAGGAGAACAAAGGTACGTTTCCTATTCCATCATGGTTTCAGTGTTGTGTCATTACGGTATCTCTAAGAAGCCGTCCAGCCTTCCAAGACTGTATTAATGGCAGCTCCCCGTGAACACTTGGGAAGACTTCTAACACAGAAACTCACATGATGACTGCAAATACCATCCCACCAACCAGACTCAACAGAGCTGGAGAGCCCATTCCAATGTACCAGCAGTCTTTTCTTATTACTTTTATTGAGAAATAATTGACACATGATAAATTCATCTAAAATGAATGAATTTGGGGACAGGAGTTTAGACTAACAGTTAAGACACCCTCATCCCATATTGAAGTAGCTGGGTTTGATTCCTTGCTCTGGCTCCTGAGTCCAGTTTTCTACCAATGCAGACACCAGGAGGCAGCAGGGATGGCTCCAGTAGTGAGTTCCTGCCACCTCCATAGGAGGCTTGGATTGTATTCCTGGTTCCTGGGGTCAGCTCCAGGCCAGCC